TATATATATATATATATATATATATATACATATATATCAGAAATCAGAACTAACAATGTCATAATTTAAAAAAAACAGAATTTTGCACTTAAAATATACAAATGAGCTTGGAAGTCACAAGGATAAGAAAATAAATTTCATGAAAAAGCACAGATATCAGAAAGCAGAACAAACTAAATATAATATAAATGAACATAATCAATGATAATTCAGTGATAAAATTTTTTTTAGAATTGAATAGTCTATTTAGCATCTTCTCACGCTTTTGAAGAAGATGCTAGACTTCTTCTTCTTTGTAATTATCCTCAGAATCTTCAGGTGAATCTTTTTTTGGCCTTCCTCGACGTCCTGCATATGATGTTCTTTTAGGTTTCGCTTTAGCTGTTGTCTTTTTTTGTGATACCTTTGGGCCTACCGCGGCTCTTCTTGACAGGACTAGCATTATTTGATTCTTCCTTTGTGACTCTCTTCGTTTTCTCCTTCGATTCAGCAGGTTTCTTCTCGTTTTTATCTGTTTTAACAGGTTTTGCTTTTCTTACAACTAACTCCATCATCGCACATTTTTGTGGATTAAGTTTCAACAAAGTGGATGAAATCGTGAAAAAGATGCCTGATAGACAAAGCAATGAGAACTAATGAGACGAACATATAGACGAATATATATATATATATATATATATATATATATATATATATATATATATATATATATATATATATATATATATATATATATATATAAATATGTGTGTGTGTGTGTGTGAAAGCTCTTGAAAAAGCGCTTTTTGAGGCCGAAGGGATTGCGAAGATTATCAATGAAATTTAATTACTAATAGAAATAATTTTTTGCAGATATGGCATAGACGTTTCATACTTTCGTATAATTCCAATCGTAACGCTCGTGATTATCCCCAATATTTCGGGAATTCATGCAATGGTACCCCTATTGTTATAACTATTTTGACAGCACTATCTGTCAGTATATATGTATGACAATAGACATGGCTTTAAAGTCGAAATTGATACAGTATTTCTGTGAATAAATTTCAATATATTTGCAATGATAAATTACTTACATATATTTCATATTTCAGAGACACACAAGAATGTTTCTACAAGAAATACTACCGAAAATTCATGGAAATATAAGGAAACACTGATGTAAATTGGATGCTAATCAAACATGTCATTTTCGAGCACTTTAAGTGAGCATAGATATGGGTGATTACCATTTCATTTCTGAAATAATGCGTATTCCTTATTCAGAATTCCAAATCTGAATGCAAATCCAAGATGTATAAAACGCGTTGTACTCAGATAACCTTCAATTTATTTAAAGTGATTTTTGAAAGAAAGTGTTGAGGGTAAATTTTGCGCAATATTGACATTTATTTTAATGGAAATCAGCTGAGTCAAACACTCAGTGTTGAAGACCATTCAATGTACAAGAAATACCAAAACAAGTTAAGAACTGAACATCTTGCTATTTCATAAATTTCTACGAATATTTGTGTATAAAATGAAATTATAGGTTCTAGTGCTTATGTTGTGATACGTCTAAATACATATGCAGGGAGAGACAGTGACCAATTTTGAGTTGTCATTTAAAAAATCACCAAAACACCTAACTAATATTCAACACCTGTTCGATGATAAAAGTTAATTTCCGCAATCCCCAATTACCCAAAAAGACTATACAAATCTTTCAGAGGGGGTTAGAAAAAAGATTCCATTTTGTTTTATCATCACAAAACTTTGAGAAATTGTTTCGAATGATATTGCAAATCCATTGAAAAATTGCCAGACTTTGTTGTACATAATGATTGCCAGAACGCTATGAATATTTTCAATAGCTATACTTTTGAACATTCTCATGACAAATATTCTACCAGTATTTAAGAAGTTTCAAACTGGCACTCCGTTAAAAAATTTTCAATGGATTTAAAATATCATTTCAAATAATTTCCTGAAATTTTATGATTGATGATACAAAAGCGCCTATTATAGAAATCCATACAGATCAACCATTGATAACTTCATACCCAACGGAAAAAACGAATAGAATTATTGAGCAACTAGATCCCATTTCTACTCCCAATAAATAACACGAAGAATCTAGGGCCCACGAAAACATAGACCAGCAACAATTTATTGGTATTCAACAGCATTAACAGCAACAGCAAACTGCAAATCCAACACCAACATCGGTCGTGGAACATCAGCAAGATTAGGAAGATCAGGAAGATCAGCAAACATTGTTCTTTCAGAGGAACAAACTCTAAATTGTAGACCTATGTTTTGAGATAACCGTTACCACGATGGATCGTAAACCACTTTGGTTTCTCTAGGTAAGGATCAGGAAAATTCTTGAACACGTGAAACTTTTTCGGAAATCAATGGATCATTAACATCTTCGTGACTACTTTCACTAGGCAGGAAATTTGAACCCTCCGTTGTAAGACTACCAAATGATGCGAAGCAGGAGATGTTGGGAAGATTTCAATACTTTCTGGGGAATTGTTAAAATTCAGAGTAAATGAATGCAAATGTCGTCAATTCATGAAGACTGTGGAATGTATTAGCCTGTGGTGTAATAATAATTGTTTACACTTGAATGTCATGAAATGTAATGTGGTGAGTTTTACTTGAAAGAGAAATGTGATAACTTTTGATCAAAACATTGAAGGTGTTAATCTGACTCGACTTTTGGAGGTTAAGGATTGAGGCCTAGTATTCGATCAAAAATTCTCTTTCACACCTCATATCAAACAATTAATTTCATCATGTAGCTTCATCGTCCGCAATGCTAGATTGTTTTCGAATACCCCAACGCTGGTCCATTTATTTAATGCCCTAGTGAGAAGAAAACTTGAATATGGCTGTCTTGTTTGGCGATCAATATATTATTGTCTGATAAACCACCTGGAGGCACTGCAGAGAAACTTCTTGAAATGACTCTCATTTCGAGGGGATGGTGTATATCCACCTAGGGGTTGTGATCACGCTTGTTTGCTGTCGAGGTTTGACACTAGGAGCTTCCACACCAAGAGAAGTTTGTATGCATTGAAATTTTATTCAATTTGCTCAATGATGATTTCGACTATTCTGACCTTCTTTGATGTTCTTCATCTATTTTGATGTTCACAGTGCATTTCTGCGCACGACGTTTTCTATAGAAACTAAAGAGAATAGTTTTATCCATAACCTAGACTGAACAAAAATAACAGAAAACAATAACCAAGAGTTTTCGAATTTTATTATATTTATGAAGCAGTCATCTATGTAGCCTATAGTTTAGGCTATATAGCTGTAGGTACCATGGCAGCCGTGCAGATTTGGGTTCGAATCCCGGATGACACATGGAAGTACGAGTATGTGCGTGTTTATGAATTTGCTGGTTAGAAAAAACGAAATGTGAATGGTGAGGTACAAAATAAAATAGCCTTAAAACAGAATCGAAGAAAATTCACAAGTCATTATAATCACTAAACATATTTATGCATTAACAAGTTGCAACATTGAATGATTCGTTGATTATTCAGCATTTTATTGTATGGAAAAAACTATAAGAAAGAGTTGAATAATATGGTAGAAAAGCAAAATAATATGATGTTGATCTGTAATGATCAACATTCGTATGGAGGATAATGAATACAAAATATTAACTTAGGAAAGTACACCTGTAACAACTGAAAAAAGTATGTTGAAATATAATCATTTTCGGTTATGTTATTGTGATCGTAAACAAATTGATATATTAATTTTATTTGATTATGTGATTTCAGCATATATGGCGGAAATTGTTTTTTCGCCTATTCAAACTTGAAATGGGAATGGAAAACAATTATACCTGCAGACATGTAATGGGAAATGGTTACTGATATCTACTGAAATTTGAAATTGCCAATTTGAAAGTGAATGAATAAATATAATAATCTATTGAATAAGGAACACTCGGCTTGGTTTAATAGAAACTATATTAATTGCTTGCCAATTGTTTTGGGATTTAACCCCATGTTCAGAAGGTGAACTGAATTTAGTTTACCTGAAACTAGTTTGGCTTCTGAAAATGTAACCTCCCAAAATAAATCAATTTATTGTAAAATATTTCACCAATAGATCAGCAAACATTCAATAAACTCGTATAAATAATCGCACATAATATTCGCAACGTATTCTACTCATATTATCGACATTTATCGTCTATCTTAACAAACAGAACTGACACGTGTTTATTGGAATAATCTAAATGAATAAAATGATTGTTCACTACTATACAAAAATAGTTTACTCGATAGGATGTTATTCATTTTTCTACCAGAATAAATGTTTTCCGTTAGAGATTTTAATAAACAGTAGGTGTAGAGCAGAAATTCCTTTGGAGGAAGATAAATATTCGTTATTGGGAAAATAAGAGTTCATTACTGTCAATAAAATATACACAGAATTACCTACACGTTTCTGTAGACAAGCACCATAATACTGACACTGTTTCTTATTCAATTCTTTTAATATATCGGTTGTCTTATCGAAGGCAACTGCTAGATATTATCAAGGAAAAGGTTCTTCATAAGAGTTACGTTTTGCTGATTAGGCTTATGTTGAAAGCTTAAATCTCATAAAAGTTTGTGTAATAAACACGCTAGTAATGAATATTACGAAAATTTATGAAATATAGCAATCGACTATTACAAATTGAATGATGTCTTCTTGAAAACATGCTTGTTCAACTAGTAGGGAAAAGATAATATTTATTTACTTACCTTTATTTGAGTTTAAGTAGATCACTGTTTATTTTGATGAATACATTTATTTTGATACATGCGTGTTGATGATGGATATGCAACAAAGTTCAAGATACTTTCCACTACTCTTAACTGGATTCGCGCACGTACTGAACTACGCACGTACGGTTATAATATAATATTTATATTGTTAATGTAATTTTTTATGATGAAAATTGAGAATCTCAATTCTTAATTAACACCTTAAAAGTTTTTTCCCTCGACTGGGATACGAACCCAGGTCTTTCTGGTTCACACCCTGCTGTTCTGACCACTAAGCTACCGAGGTCTCTACTTAAAATTGTAATTTCGACTTATATCTAATTACTCCTTTATTCGCAAGCTAGTCTTTGATACACGGATTGTCGTCTTTTTCAAACTATAGACGACAGTGAGTAAACACGGTCTCATCCTCCCAGATGCATTAATTTTCCTTTTGGAACATGACATTTTTAAAGTAAAGTAACTATTATTCGCGGTAACCACTCACGTACGGAACATATTGTAAATGTATTTTTTCATGATGAGAATTGAGAATCGAAATTACACCTTAAAAGTTTTTGACCTCGACTAGGATACGAACCCAGGTCTTTCAGGTTTACACCCTGATGCTATAACCACTAAGCTACCGAGGACTCTACTTGGAGATGCAATTTGACTTGTATCAAATTACTCTTCTATTCGAAAGCTAGTCTTTGACGCTCAGATGGTCGTCTTTTTCAAACTACAGGCGAAAGTGAGTAAATACCTTCCCATCCTCCCAGATGTAATAATTTTCCTTTCGGAACATGACATTTTTAAATTAGAGTAACTATTATTCGCGCTAAACACTCACGTACTGAACATATTGTAAATGCATTTTTTTATGATGAAAATTGAGAATCGAATTTATACCTTGAAAGTTTTTGAACTCGATTGATACGAACCTAGGTCTAATAAAAGTGTAAACCTGAAAGACCTGGGTTATTTTGAACTTTTAACGGTTTTCAAGTTTAACTTTTTTAGGTTTTGGATTTCTCAATTTTGTTTCGATAGTTTCAAGTGGTTTAAAAGCCGTTGATATATTACTTTTACGGAGAATCCGTCCAATCTTGTCAATTGTTTCCTTGATGTACGGTAGGAAGGTTTTGAATTTGTTTTCGGAATCTTGTCTTGGTTTCTTTCCCAGATTTTGTTGCAGATCAATCGCTTATTTAATTGTCTTTCGTTTGTATCCATTTAGTTCCAGGGCTGCGGTAATTTTGCCCTGTTCTTGGATTTTGTGATTGTTATTCGTAAGACGTAGTGACCTGGAGATCAGGGTGTTTGCAACAGCTTGTATCTGCAATGGATGGTGGTGAGATTCGGCGTTTAGGTACCTATTAGTGTGAGTTGGCTTTCTATATACAGTGTGTCCCAATTTTCCATGTTCCCCTCTCATGACAAGTACGTCTAGAAAGGGTAATTGGTTGCTATACTCAAGCTCTATAGTGAAGTTTATTCGTGGGTGGACTGAATTCAGATGGTCCAGGAATTCTAGAAGTTTGTCTTTACCGAACAACCATACGACGAACGCATTGCTGCTAAGCCAACTTGTCGGTACATTTGTCCATTGCGTATGAAATAGTCGTCGTTGGAAGTGTTTCGTTTTCTGCTATTTGTTGTAGAGCTTCCTCTACTGTTATACTCGGACACAGCCTAACTCTACTTACAAGCCATGAACATAGACTTGACAACGCCGTATCAGCTCATTCTGGTAGACTGATCCATCTTCGAACATGGTCTACTGCATGTTATAATTGCCTTTTCAGAAAATTTTTCGATAAAACGGTAATTTGTATAAAAAAATAGTTTTTACAAAAATTGTAGATCATACAATTACCTATAGAAATTAATAATACACTAAGAAGTTCTAAGAAGAACTATGTCTGAGTTATAGCGACTCAAAAGTTTTTTTTATAGTATGTACACCAACAAGTTCACTTTATCAATTAGAATTGACAATATACTATAAATTTCATTATTTTTTAATTTCAAGTGGGAGTAAGTTTATTGAGATGTGTACAGCAATTTGGACGGTAGAATGATTCTGATATCATACTTGTAAGGAACAAGCAAATTTTCCAGTTGAGGCCATCCAGATAATTTCAGTTTTGAATTCCATTTTGAATTATTGAGAGACAGTTTATTTTCATTGATAAAATCATTTACATGCATATCCGAATCTACTAAAATCTGATTAATTATTTGTATACTCTTTATTTGTAAACATTCAGTTACGTTTGATGGAAAATCTAGTGTAAAAAAATGCTGTAATTTTCAAAAAATTTTATATTCCACGATTTACATATTGAAATCTTTTATAATTGAATGTTAAATCAACAAAATTACAAATTGAATCTGGGTTTTCAAAGGCTTCATTCAATTTCTCACAACGTCCCTTCAATGCTGTGGTTCTTGCAGCTGGATCTTTTCTTTGAGCGTGGACTGTTTTTGATAAGTAGGGGTAAATTTGAAAAAATACTTGGCCCTGCATGAGTTTAACTTGAGCAGATATTGCTTTCGTTGATCCATCTGGCAAACGATGAATACCTTCTCTAACAAGTGTACCCTCTGGAAAATGTTGGGCACAAACTACAGAATATTTTGTGGGGGTCCATAATGCCCTAGGAGTATTTTTTAGCCATTGGTTCATTAGATTTTCATCATTCAAAAAAAGAACAATTCTAGCAAATAATGCTTTTGTTAATGTCTGAACTACTCAGTCAAAACAACTAAAACGCGGATTTTTGTTTTACACAATTGTGAGATGGAAAAAGTTATGTGTTATTTCTACCTCTCCTGGTATAACGAAAAAGAGCACAACTTAAAACACAACAGATATTCCTGTTTATATTCGAAATTTGCGGGAAATTTCTTTTACTTGTTCTTCAAACTTCAAACAATAGCACTTTTCACAACTGATTTCTGGATTTGAATGTTATTTCTCTCGTTAAATAGCGATTTATTCAGCAGCAATGAGCAGAAACAATTGCTACGCCATTACAGCATCTCTATTATGGGTCTTGCTTGGATGTTGCCAGATTTCCTAGTTCATGGCTTGTAGGTAGAGTTAGGCTGTGGCTCGGATATAGAGATTCGACGTCAAAACTTGCGATTATGTCATGTTGATCTATGGTGAGAGAGTCTAACAGCTGCGTAAAGTGCTCTGAGTTTTTGATATAAGAGTCTGCTCCTTCCACTATGGGTTGTAGTATACTGGCCAGATATTTTTCCAAGTTATATACTGGAGAGTTGAAATTATTCCCGTACCAATATACCGTTATATTTTTCCATCCGTGAATCTTTACATTCAAACATATATATATATATATATATATATATATATATCTATATTTATATTTATACATCATATATATTTATATTATTATAACGATTGTTCCCCATGAGAAGAGCGTTTGACCAAGAATTCTACCTTTGCCTTAGTTTTTACTTATATGTATATACGTCACTGATACGATTCACATATCTACCTATCAATGTCACTGATGTACACATATCAGTGACGTAGCGACAGGGTAGCAAGGTGTGGCGTGTTTATGGGCCTTGAACCTTTTAGGTCTTGCTAGACTTTTTGTGATACAACTATTATAAAATTTTGAAAAAATAATCACAATCCACTTCTACCAGTTATGGAGCAGAAATTATAGTGCGAAATGTGGCATTATCTCTGAAAAAAATTCTAACACTATGAAAAAGTATTTATAATAGTATTGTAAAATAAAATTTCAACCAGTATCAATGTTTTGTCTAGTAATATTCAGATTAAAAAGTTGACCAATTGAGAGCTTTTTGGTACGTGCCAGGACCTTGAAGAGTCGAGTTAACGTTTAAGTTCACTCGATCACAATCGATCGTGGATCAGGGAAATGATCCCAAACAGAGGTCCCGAAAGGCGATGACACAAATTGAGGAGTTGTCTTATGGCGAAGGGCTTTGCTATTTGACGGATAACTGGAAACATTGGAGTTCTGAGTCATCTAATTAGTTCATTCTCAGTTTTTAGTAAGCGAGAAAGTATATTAGGAATGAAATTCCTCAGAAGAGACTGTCATTTTTGGCAATTTTATCCATCAGAAATGAATATAAGATATGAAAAGTATGTTTTTATATGTATTTCCTCAAATGAGAAAGTAATAGAAATTGAATTTTTTATTTGACTTGTACCAACATGTATTTTAATTTTTTATGCAAGTATTCTCTTTTCTTCATTGTAATTTTCGATTTGTTCTTGGAAATTTGGTTCTGAAAATGGAACTGAGAACAGTCAATTGAAAACGAAATAGGCTGTCTTCTGCTTCTCTCGAGTGTGGCATCAATTCATTATTCAATATTCTCTACCATATCACTCGGAGGCCAGTGAAGACAGTATGTTTATCGTACAATTCGACATTTTTCTAATCAATTCTGATTAAACACAATTATTAATCTGAATATATATATATATATATATATATATATATATATATATATATATATATATATATATATATATATATATATAATGATGATGTTTACTTTTGTAGGTTAAATAATACAAGAAGTGTTTCTCTGTAAATAACAAAGATATTTTATTAACAAATTAAAATAACAAGTAATCTAAAAGTTTACTTTACCTGTAAATAACAAAGAAACAACATTCAAAGTTATTATTCACGAGGTTTTCTATATCTATCAGAATGTCAGAATGATTCACAAAGCTTAAGCATAAATGAAATACAATGTGATCATAGATATGGAGAGATATCTCCATATCTATGATCTACCGTTTCACGGTAGTCATATTATCTATGAATCCGTAGTATATAATAATGCACTGAGCAATGCACTACACTACCTAATGGTCATTCCTTACATATATATATATATATATATATATATATATATATATATATATATATATATATATATATATATATATATATATATATGTATATATATAATTGATATATTCAATGTTACAAACTCTGAACTATATATATGACTTTTTTCTAATAAATGGTTAGCATAATGGGAATCTTTTTTCTGTTTCTCAAAACTACGTTTATGTTCCGATAATCTAATTTGGAAATTTCTGAAAGTTCTTCCTACTCGTATATTAAAATTTTCACATTGCCACATTTAATTTTGTATACCCCACACATTTGATTTTTGATTTATTATTTTTGATTATTTTACCAATGTTATTAATGGTCCTAGAAGAAATATTAATCTTATAGCTTGCTAAAAGTGATTTTAATTTTAAACTTGGTGTCCCCATATATGTTAAAACACCATGTATTGACTTTTCTTTAATAAGAGGATAAACTTCTGAAACCGCTCTTTTGAAAAGTTGTTTGTTTATTAATTGTTTATTATTTCGGGTTGGTATTCATTGTTTGAGGCTGTTTGCATAATAAAGCTTTTCTCTTTGTTGAAATCAACGTTCGAAAGCGACAGGTTAACAAGTCTATGAACCATACTATTAAATGATGACATTTATTGTTGTATGGGGTGAACCGAACTTTTATGAATTACTGTATCCGTGTGTGATGGTTTGTGATGAATAGAGAACGAATGTTTATGTTATAATTTTTTAATTGTTAGGTCTAAGAAA